ACTCACTGCCATTTGACCTCTGACTGGTCACTTAGCCTCAGTGATTTCTACTTTTCCATCTGAAAACGCAGACAATGATAAGAGATGCCCCTAAAGTCTTCAAGGGAACAGTGCTCAGAAGTAACCCTAGGAAACATTTTGAAGCAGGCAACATTTATCTTTGGTACTTATGTCACCTGTCCCTCTCTTTCTGCTTCATTTCTTCCCACCCCAACCCCAGCATTCCCCTCTTCCCTAATCTTTCTATGCGGGGAGAGGAGTCAACCGATGAAACCAATCAGCAATATAGATGTTAGGGATTAAAAGTATTCACTTTCCCAAAACTATCTTTAACCCAAAGAGAAGGCAAAGAAGGCTTTGCCCAAAGATCCAATTGCAGTTGGGTGAATTTTTGTGGCAGATGAGGGTTTTGGTTATTTCCGGAGCCTGTAAATTACATAAAGCTGTCCTGGGACAATTTTGTAAAGTAGTTTTTTTAAAAAAGAAAAAAAAAATATATATATATATACACACACACACACACACACACACACATCAGGTTGGTAGAATATTGCATAATTATTACAAATGGTCATTTACAAAGACTATGAGGCAACAGCAGGGACAACTCCCAAGTATAATGCCCAGAGCACATGCCCTGAGCACCACTCCCAGGTGTAACGTGACACTATTTAAAGAAGCAGGAGCCCAAACATGTGCCAACTATGAGACACAGCTACATAAAAATTACACGCATAAATAAACAGAGAGAGCCTGGAACGTACTATAGAAGAGTGAAAACAAATTATTGGTTGAAGTGATGGAACAGTGAGTGACTTTTAAATTTTTAGTCAATGTTACAACAGTGTAAAATACATTTAGAAATGCTAAGAAAGAAAAAAATCATTAAAAATTTATAGAAAATTGATAGCATAGGTAAATGAATTCCCTATTGTCATAATTTCAGAATGGTTATATATATATATATTTTAACTTAGTGTAAGATATCTTAGCTGCACATGGTGGTACACACCTGTAGTTTCAGCTGCTTAGGAGGTTGAAATGGAAGGATCACTTGAGGCCAGGAGTTTGAGGCCAATCTGGACAACATAGCAAGGCTTCTTTCCAAAAAATAAAAAATAAAAAAGGAATTTTAAGATTTAACATTTCCATGAAGCTCAACATTGTTTTTGCCAATATAAACATACTACGTCATCAACCAAATACTTGAGAGTCTTTATATTAAAATTTTATGTTTATCTAAGAAAAATTTGTCAAGGTTCTTCTAAAAAGGGAAAGTAGTCAAAAATATATGACAACATTTTGGTGATTCTGAGGACAGAGAATAGCATGAGGCGCCTTTATACCTCAGAACAAATCAGAGGTGTGTGCTTTGTAAACGTTCACCAAATAGATGAGTGAGTCATTTTCCAGAAGTGTCCAGATGAATCTAAAATCTCCTTTCACCTAATCACACCACCTTTGCAGGGGTTTCTGAATGAATACCCACAGACACCTGTTAGGTAGAGAGCTAAGGACCATGTCATTCCCATCTCCCAAATAACAGATACTATGTTTCCTGTTAATGTGATTTCTGTTCTTATCCAAACGAAAAATTAAAACAAATTTCTTTTCTTTTCTTTTCTTTTTTTTTTTTGAGATGGAGTCTTGCTCTGTCGCCCAGGCTGGAGTGCAGTGGCCGGATCTCAGCTCACTGCAAGCTCCGCCTCCCAGGTTCACGCCATTCTCCTGCCTCAGCCTCCGGAGTAGCTGGGACCACAGGCGCCAGCCACCTCGCCCCGCTAGTTTTTTGTACTTTTTTTTAATAGAGATGGGGTTTCACCATGTTAGCCAGGATGGTCTCGATCTCCTGACCTCATGATCCGCCCATCTCGACCTCCCAAAGTGCTGAAAACAAATTTCATACACTGCAACTAGCTTTGCACTCGATCAGCTTTAAAGATTTTTCGCATGCATACCTGAGAGTCTGTGACCTTCTTAAGCTACCCTCCTGTTCTTCACCCTTAAAAAGCAAATCTGTTGAATCACAGACTGCCAAAGCTAGAAGGAACTTTACCAGTCATTTGGCTTATTTTACAGATAAGCAAAATGGAAGCTCAGAAGGTCCTGCTCTAAGATCTGCCCGTCCATGACATACATTTAAGTTGATTAAATTAATGGACTCTTCCACTCCAACTACAAGAGTAATTTATGCTTGCTATATGAAATATTAACATATAAAAATTATTCATACTTCTGTCACCCAGAGATAACCACCATTAACATGTATGTGTCTTTCTGGGCCCTTAGTCACTGCTGCAGATGGACAGGAGCGTGGGATAACAAGTGTGCAGGGGGCTGGGGGACATGACACGGCTGAGCTCTGGTCAAGGCAGGATTCCTGCACCACATGCTTCTGCTCCTTTGGCTTCCCTCCTGGGACAGCCTTGGCACATGAAACCCAGGGTAGTCTATGAGAGGGACTTACATCATGTCCACACCAGCCATATCCATCTTGGGTATACCTGTCTTCAGAACTGTGAGGAAATAAATTTTTGTTGTTTATGCTACCCACTCTATGGTATTCTGTTATGGCAGCCCAAGCTGACAAATGGATTTTGGTACCACAAAGAGGGGTGCTGCTATAATTAATACCTAAACACGTAAAGTGGCTTTGTAGCTGGGTAATGGGTAGAAGCTGCAAGTCTGAGATGAGGACACCCACGTGATTGAGTCCTGGTGAGGGCTCTCTTCCGGGCCTGCGGTTGGTCGCCTTCTCACTGGGCTCTCACATAGCCTTTGCTTGGAGGAAGATCTCTCTCTTTTCCTCTCCTTATAAAGGCACTAATCCATCAGAAGGACCCCACTGTCATGATCTCATCTAAACTTAAGTACTTCCTAAAGACCCTATCTCCAAATACCATTGTATTGGCGGCTATGTGTTAACACATGAATTGTGGGGGTACATGAACATCAGTCCATAGCCCTAGGGGAGAATGCTTGAATTGTGAGAGCACCAAGCTGGGGACAGCTAGGAGAATAGCAATATTTGGTAGGCACCAATTTCTTCTTTCCCTTTGCTGTCCACTCCACTACATCTAATAAATAGCTTTATTTTTTTCTTTTCATTGTAAAAAGTTCCTCTTTCTATAGGATAAAATGCATGGATCGAAGAGGGTTTAGTTATCCTTCGATTCTTCTACCCTATCATTGAGGTTTTCTGCAATATTTATTTGCCAATGAATTGTGAACATTTTCCTACATTAATAAACCTTTTTCAGTTGATTTTTTAGCCTCTTCGTAAGAGTCTACAACATGCATGAATCATACTTTATTTAATTAGGATTATTTTTGGAAATCTAGATTTTTCCAATTTTTTACTATTAAAAACAAAACTGTAATGAACATCCTTGAATAGTAAAATATTTGTGCACATCTGCTGGGTTTTTTTAGGATAAATACTTAGAATTGCTGGATGAAAGAGTATAAATATTTTAAAGGCATTTGATACACAAGGCTTAATTAGCTCCAGAAAGTTGTTTTAATGCTCAATTCTACCTGTCTGAGTTGGGCCCTGTTTTATGTTGGCCAAAATTTGGAAATCATTCCCTTCTGCCATCTAGACCTCGCTTTGATTACTTAAATCACAAGAAGGTAGAAAACTTAGGTCCCAGGAGACACAAGTTTCAGACAAGAAGAGACAGAATCCAGTCAAAGAGTTTTCCTTGTCCCTTTGTTTCCTACTTAAGACAGAGCTAAGGAACATTCAGACATCCCCTCTGCTCTCTGCCAAAGTGACATAGCATTGAACATCTGAGAAGTCCAGGATTTCTGAACTGACTCAGTTCAGTTTGGACAAAAAGAAGGATAAAAAGGGTTTTGTCCACAAATCACAGCCAAGTCAGTGGGATGACCGTTTCTGGGCCCTTTGGTTTCCTCACCTGGGTCAGAAATGGTAGATCAAGGCAGCCTCTAGTCACAGTCCTTCTCCTCTTTTATTGCAGCCTCAATACCAATTGTCCTTCCTCATTTGAGACACTGTTGCTTATGAAAACATTAAACAACATGCAAGCAAACTTTTTGGTTGAGAAGGAACTTCTCAGAAAATTCTGCAAACATCGCATGTTTCCTTTTTTTAATTCTCTTTGTTCCAGATATTTAAATATTTTGTCTGCCTTCAGGGAAAAGGATTCACCGATCCTAGTAGAAACTGCTTACTTCTACCTTCTGAAAACAGGAAATAATAAGGACTAGCACATATACAGTACCTACTATGTGCTAGCAGTGTAATAAACACTTTATGCCAATTTATTCACTTTATCTTTGTAATAGCCTGCTCTTGTAGATATTATTATTGACATTTTTATCTCCACTATTTATTTGAAGAAATAGAGGCACAGGAAGTTAAATAATTTACAACTAGTACATGGCAAAGCTGAAAGCACAGCTTGGCTTAAGGATCAAGTTCAACAGCATTACACCCTTGGGCTCCTGCCTCCCGCTGTGATCCTGGCTGAGATCTTGCCTCATAGGCCCTTTATTTTTCATTCACAGCAAAACAGACAGACATCACTGCAAACAGGCACTTTCAGTTATTGTAGTGGCTCCTGGAATATCTTCCTACCTCTATCCATATCTTTCCTTCCTAATCCCTATTCCCTTTTCTTCTTCGTCCAATTTTATCTATTTAAGACCATTTCTCTTCTGCCCATGTCTGGCTGTGGTTTTTGGTTCTCTCACCTGTGCTTAAAACCTATGAAATCAGTGTGACTCAGAGTGGCTCAATCCCTTTCCCTGCCTCTCAGCCCAGTTTTCAGGCTGACAGTGGTTACTCTACATTTTAATTGCAGTAACATTTAATTATAACTGTGACAGCAGCAGGTATGACATGCAGAAGATAATACATAGAACTGATTTAGTAAATACATGTATACACCCATGAAAGGTATTTCCATGAGTCGAGTAGACAAAAGCAAGACTTTTACTTGGAAGCTTAAGGGCAGCAGGGAACAGAACCATACCTTCTGTAGTTGGCATGTTTGTATCAAGGTTGTTTATGAGAATTTGTCATGTGCTTGCTTGCCCTTCCGCCAAGGCACACAGTATAAGCTCTCTTTTGCAAATGGGACTCTTGAGACTGAAGAGGTAAGGTAAGCTGATTCCAGTGGGTCTGAGGCAAGGCCAGATGTGTACCAGTGCTCCATCCTGCTGGTTCAGACGCTGACCCAGAGGCCTGTGCTCTCTGGTTCCTTCGCTATTGACGTCATACGATGTAATGAACCAGAAAATCTAGGCCTGAAGATTAACATCTTCCTCTTTGCAAAGAAATCTTCCTCTTTGCCAATGGCAATGCCAAGATATGGGTTATAAATTCCTATAAGAGAGAAACATCAGCCGGCTTAAAAGGAAAAATCACCCACCCCACCTACATTCATCAATGATAGCTGATAGGATTATCAGATACTGAAGAAATGAAAAGACAGGTCTCACCCAAATGCTATGTGGTGACTCTTTGCAATCTTTTAAATGTGCTGGTGGTTTCACACAAGGTATCCAATCTGCCCCGAATGTCCTTCAGTTTGTATTTCATTTTCTTTTCTTATAAAACACTCTCTCTCTTTTTTCTCTCCAATCCCCAACACTCTATATATACATATACATATACATATATTATACACATGTATGCATATACACACATGCATAGATGAATTCATGCTGTTTAAGCTATATTTTTACCATTTTTTCTTGGCTCACCCTTTCTTCTTTGTTCCCCTTCTTCTCACATGAGCCACTCTCCAAAGGAAACCATGTTGTTTACATGGCTGTTTCTTCCATAGTTTTACCAATGCTCATCTAATCCTATTTAAATAAATACGTAAACACACAAACACACAAATGCATTTTCACACATACATTTATACAGGTGCATGCCATTTTTTTTTTTTTAAAGATGAGATCATATTATATGTACTTTTTTTTTTTAAGACTGAGTGTCGCCCTGTCTGTCGTCCAAGCTGGAGTGTAGTGGTGCAGTCTTAGCTCACTGCAACTTCCACCTCCTAGATTCAAGTGATTCTCCTGCCTCAGCCTCCCGAGTAGCTGGGACTACAGGTGCATGCCACCATGTCCAGCTAATTTTTGTATTTTTAGTAGAGATGAAGTTTTACCACGTTGACCAGGCTGGTCTCGAACTCCTGACCTCAAGCAATCTGCCCGCCTGGGCCTCCCAAAGTGTTGGGATTGCAGGCATGAGCCACCATGCCCAGACTGTATGTACTTTTACTAGCCAGTTTAAAATAAATCTTTGTATAAAATGATGTTGATACTAATTTTTCAGCATTATTTGAATTAAAATATTTTTTCTAGGTAAGTAAATTCTGGTATCAACAATATTGTACCTTGTACCTGTTCTGTCCAAAACTTCTTGTATGATATGAGGTTTTTGGGGTTTTGTGAGTTTTGTTTGTTTGTTTTGCTTTGTTTTGAGGGAAGGTCTCCCTCTGTCACTCAGGCTGGAGTGCAGTGGCGCAATCTCAGCTCACTGCAACCTCCACCTTCTGGGCTCAAGTGATCCTCCCATCTCAGCCTCCTGAGTAGCTGGGACCGCAGGCACATGCCACCATGCCTGGCTAATTTTTAAGCTTTTTGTAGACACAGGATCTCGCTATGTTGCCCAGGCTGTTCTGGAATTCCTGGACTCAAGTGATCCTCCCACCTTGGCCTCCTAAAGCTGGGGTTACAGGTATGAGCCACTGTGCCTGGTATGAGATGAGTTTTTAATATTATATAAACACATGTCTTTTTAAAATTTATCTATTTATTTATTTATTTATTGAGACAGGGTTTCACTCACGTCACCCAGGCTGGAGTGCAGTGGCATACTCTCGGCTCACTACAACCTCTGCTTCAAGGGCTCAAGCAATCCTCCTTCCTCAGCCTCCCAAGTGACTGAAGCTATAGGCAGGGATCACCAGCCTGGCTAATTTTTGTATTTTTAGTAGAGATGGTGTTTCACCATGTTGCCCAGGCTGGTCTCGAACTCCTGACCTCAAGTGATCCATCTGCCTCTACCTCCCAAAGGGCTGGGATTATAGGTGTGAGCCACCGTGCCCGGCCTATCTTTTCTATTATAGCTTCTTGAGTTTCCTCTTTATCTCCTCTCATCTAATCCTTCTGACTAACATTTACTCAACTTCCCAGAATCAACTCAAACTCAGAATTCACCTCTTTTGTATCAAATTCCCTGACTCACCCTTCCTTCCATCCCAGGCAGAGTTAATTCTCTTTCTTTTGTACAAATCTCCTTAGCACATTGAATTGTTCTTGTCTGAGTTTGTCAGCCCCACTGATTACAAGATTCTGGAAGGCAGACTCAGTATCCTATTCACCTTTACCAAATCCAGCAGCAAACACAGTGCTTTAAATGCCACTACTCAATATTTCTGTTGACAAATTACATATTTAAATGTTTTAATGTAAATTTTAATTTTATACCTAGTGTAAATTATTTAATCAGTGCTTCCAAAAAACAAAGCGAAAGCAAAAGATTAGGTTAACTTGATATTCCTGAACGAGATAACAAGAATGCATATATGCGATGCTTAATGGATCTTTTAGGGGGGAAAAAGAGCATTTGTTCATTTTACCGTAGGCTCTGAATTACTACACAGAGGGAGACAAGTCAAGAACCAGTGCAATGTTTGTCCTGTGCCTGACTTGTTTCACTTAACACATTGTCCTCCAGATTTATCCATATTCTCACAAATGACAGGACTTTGTTTTTTATGACCAAACAGTATTCCATCATATGTATATAACACATTTAAAAAATCCATTCATTTGTTGATGAACACTTAGGTTGATTCCTTCTTGGCTATTGTGAATAGTGCTGTAATAAATAGGAGAGTACAGATATCTCTTTGACATACTGATTTCATTTCCTTTGTATATATACCCAGCAGTGGTATTGCTGAATCATGTGGTACTTCTATTTTTAATTCTTGGAAACTCCATACTATTTTCCATAATGGCTGTACTAATTTACTTTTCCACCAACAGTGTATAAGAATTCCCCTTTCTCCACACATAAGGACAAATACTGCATGATCTCACTCATAGGTGGAATATAAAAAAACGGATCTCATAGAAGTAGAGAGTAGAATGGTGGTTATCAGAGGCTGGGGAGAGTAATGAGGAGAGGGGGATAGGGACAGGCTGTCAACAGGTACAAAGTTACAGGTCCATTGGATGGATAGTGCTGGTGTTCCAGGGTACAGTAGAGTGACTGTAGTCAGCAATAGTGTATTGTATACTTCCAAGTTGCTAGAAGAGAGAATTTTGAATGTTCTTACCACAAAGGAATAAAAAGTATTTGAGGTGATGGCTATGCTCATTATCCTGATTTGATCATTACACAATGTATAACATATGTATCAAATCATGATATTGTACCCCATAAATATATACAGGTATTATATGTCAATTAGAAATAAAATAATCCTTTTTAAAATGAATTAATGTGTGTTTTTGTAGACATTAAGTCTTTATCAAAAAATTAAATGCCTGAATGTATGATGTGCATATTTCCAACAATATAAAGTGATTGATACTGATACTCGCCATCCTAAGATGGCCACCATTATGTAGATACTCTGTTGCTTTAGAATTCTAATTTGCTATCAGAAAGTGTTCTGTTGGGTAAAATTTCCTATAGAATTATCATATCTTCTTACTTTATTATTTTTGTCTTTTGTCTACTTCAAATGATTATTGAGGAGAAAAGCTTAGGAATGTAGATATTTAAAATGAAAGCCTTGACTTTGCCTAATTCTTTTTTTTTTTTTTTTTTTTGAGACAGGGTCTTGCTCTGTCATTCAGGCTGGAGTGCAGTGATGCAATCACGCTCACTGCAGCTTCCATATCCCGGGCTCAAGCCATGCTCCTATCTCAGCTGCCGAAGTAGCTAGGAATACAGGCTCAGACCACCATATTTGGCCATTTTTTTTTTTTCTTAATTTTTAGTAGACATGAGGTCTCCCTGTTTTGCCTGGGCTCAAGTGATCCTCCTGCCCCAGTCTCCCAACGTGCTGGGATTAAAGGCGTGAGCCACTGTGCCTGGTCTACTTCTTTATCAAAAGTTGTTTTCCGCCCACCCCCCGTCTTAAGAGAACCAGTCACCTTGAAAACTATTGGAATAAAATTATTGGGACTATCTTAAAACCTAGTGTTTGTTCCTGCTTCTGTAACATTTACTATTTGGAAGGCAATAGTATAAACTCCAATTTATCTTAAAGTTAAATTTGGCTTAAACCAACATGTAGTTCCTGGAAGCTGATAGATGCTTAATAAATATTTATTGGATGAAGAACTGATGAATTGTGGTAACTGACAACCTCATCTCTAACTCTGTTAACTCATATATTTGCAGTTGCTTTAACATACACTCAATATTTTCTAACTGGTTGCTTTAAAAAAAAGTCAATCCCCAAAAAGGGCATTTGGCAGAAAGTAATATTGCTCAAGGACCCCAACAGGAAACCCATGTTTGGACTCTTTCCTCCTTGGCAATTTAGGACCAAAAGCAGCTTCTCGTAACAAGCTTATGGCAGCACTTTTTTGAGCGTTGGCTCATGCAAATGTTTTGTGGTTTTGGTGTCAAGTATAAGCAAACTAAAAAACTAAAAATAAATCTAAAAGTAGACTTTTCTTCAGAATTTGACTTGGGAATATGGATCTTAGTCTACATGTTATTGGGCAAATAATAAGTATACTAAGGAAGGTATGAAATTTGACGTGGGCTGCAATGCTAAAAAACACAAAATGACTTAAGTCTTCCATCACCACTCAAGGCATTTGGAAGGTAAATCAGAGAATAGAATTTTCTTAAAGAACCTGTTAAACAATGTATCAATTCTTTAGCAATAAATAAAAAATAAAAAGCATTGCACAATCTTCCCTTCTGCCAACATTCCACTCTCCCAACATCTGGGAAACTGGGCAGGGAGGAAGCAGACCGTTTCTAATTACCCTGTGGCAGCCAAGGTGGCTTCAACTTTTAAGGTATGAGGTGAAGCAAGGGAGAATATTAAAAACAGTAAATGTTTTTTACAAACCTCTCACAGATATTTAGCTTGAAAAATAAATAAAAACATTCAGCTCTAGTTTTCTTATTTTGCCCCTGGCTTCACTTCCCAAATATTTGATCCTGATAGAAAATTATGATTTTATTGACGCCCCCCCATCAGGATTCTGTAACTCTTCCTTGGGTACTGCAGAAAGAAACAGGTCCAACTGGTGGACCTCACAGTCCAGTGGCTTAATCACAGACGGGGCATGCGGAGGAAGAACAATCTGGCTCTCAGAGGCACCGAAGGTAAGGGACATTCACTACAACTAACGTGCAGGTAGTAAGACTGCAAAGATGAATCCAAGGCAGAGACAACCTTCCAGAACTCTCTTCCCTTCCAGAGTCTGGTCTCCATTCTCCTGGACCAGGGACTTGCTTCTAGTAAAATAAGTCTTGTAATTTCCAGAACAATGAATTCAGACCATGTCAAATTTGATTCTTTTTTAAGCTAGGGAACTCTAATGAGCCTTCCCCAAGATTTCCTAGGTCTGAGGAAACTGTACCTCCTTCAGGGTCTCCAGGACGACCACTTCTTACTAAAACTTAGCAGGCAGAACCATTGGAAATGGTACAAGAGGCAACCAGAGCAGCCATTTCTCTGGTATGTGACCACTGTGGCCCATAGCAGGGACAGCCTCAACTCCAGAATCCTTTAATCTATATCTGTCCTAAGAAGGTAAACCTAATGTGATCAGACTCCAGGGGCCCAGCCTCATGTTCAAAGGGCTCCCACGTAGAGTCAGAACATATTTATTGAGCACCTACTTAGTGCCAGGCATTGTGCCGGGCTCTGGAAACACAGTCCCGTGCAAGATGGGTTTTTGTCCTCAGAGATCTCACTGTCTAAGAAAAGGAAGCAGGTTCTTACAACAGTGATTGTGAAAGCGCTAAGTGCCTCAGGACCACGTGAGAGGGAGCACTCAGGAATAGAGCTGCACCCTACCCTTTTCTTATTCTTTCAGAGAAGTTGCCCTTTGATTGGGCAATAGTGGTATCCTGGCCTGTGGACATAGGAAGCCGGCAAATAGGAAATGATGGTCAATTATATTCAATGTCATCCATATGCATTTCACTCCTCAGCACTGCCTTTGCTGCAGTAACAGACTTTTTCACTTTGGGAAAGTAGGCAGAGTCCAATGTCACTCAATAAACCAGTGACCTGCACTCTCCCTGGTGGCAGGCCTTCTCAAACACCCTTCATATCTGAGGATGTAAACAGTCAAAAGGCTAGAGGGTGTGACCAAATGTAATATTGTGTTAATGTCAGACTTACAAAGCCTCAGTCCTCATATGTGCCATTATTTGGACTGTGTATTTCGAACTCTGGATGCTTCTGAATGTGAGCCAAAAACAGCCACCTAGGAACATCAACTGTCCATAGAGGGGACTTTCCAATTGATTTTGGTCTTTGTGAGCAATGATTAAGTCTTGCTCTATCTTCCATTGTCTTCCATACACAACAGCCTTAGTTCAGGGTCTTCCGAAGCAGACCTTAAGATGCGGATTCATGGGCAAGGGATGTATAGAGAAAGTGGCCCATGAAGAGGCTGGGGTGGGGCAGGGGATAGTTGGAGAAGCAGGACAGGTAGGAGAAGGATCTGAGTGAAGGCACAATTTCAGGCAAAGTCCCAGCTCCTGCCGGCTCCTGCAGGAGAGCAGCTCAGGAGAATGAATTATGCCTTAGAGTTTGTCCCAGCTGGAGGCCAGGCAGTTGGTCTTTCATACATCCGTACCAGTCACTTATTGACTAAGAGCCACCCCAAGGAAACATAAATTGCTAGGTATGTAGACAGTTTTCTGTGTGTGGGAAAAATGACTCTGGTACCCTAGGGCAGGGCTCAAGGTGAGTCACCGTTGCAGGCCATTTAGAAGTTGAGGCACACAGAAGTCCAACAGGAGCACAGACTCCTACAGGGGGTCCAAGGAGATCTGGGCAGAACACAGACAGGGTTGCTGCATCCACCAGCATGCTGCACGCTCTCTCTGCCTGGTAAGCACACTTCTCATTGGCAACTGGGAGGGCTACTTATAGCCAGAAAGAAGTGATAAATAACACATTAAAAGATTTTTTTATGATATAGGCCATACATGTCATACTTTTTAAGCCATACATGTAAGTTTTAGAAGAAAAGAGGATTCCAGTTTATTTTACTGAGACCCTATCGGATTAGGTATCAGGAAATGTGATTGCTACTTCTGTTGCTATCCCTAACCAGCTGTGCGACCTTTGACAGTACAATTTGGTGCAATTCAATAACCGTTTACAGATCTCCTGTGCTTCTGGGCTGCAACTCACAGTACCTACAACGATGTCTTTCAGTGTACAGGCTAGAAACGGATGAGGCTGCGGTACATAAGTGCATGAAGAGCAGTGGAAACATGCAAGAGAAAAGTAAACCAGAGAAGGAAATCTTGGTGGGAGGGATTTAGGAGAGGAGTTTTGGAGGAAATTACATATGAGCTGGGTCTCAGAGGGTGAGCAGGGTGTTGATACGTAGAAAGAGGGAGAGGGTTCCCAACCGAGCAAAGGCAAGGAGGTGAGAAAGAAGCACATCAGGCTATTCAGGTTGACCGACCACAGCAACCTTGTGGGGGTCATTTGGGAAAACAACCTGGGAAAAGAACTTCAGGGTCAGATTTGGGGGCCTTGAACATCCATATGGGATGTTTATATTTAATACGATGTTAAGTGAAAAACTAAAAGTTTTTGAGAAAGAGAACTATATGGCTTAAACACACTCTTGGTCATTTCCTCAAGGCCACCCAGGTGGTACAGTGTCTAGGAGGGTCAGAGAGGAGGGTCTCCCACATCAGCCCACGTCAAACCATCTGCCATGACAACCCAGGCCCTGGGAAGAAACTGAACTCTCGTGCCACATTGTTCTCTCCAGAGGTGAGCTTCTCCTTGGGGTCATAGTGCTGTCTGCCTGGTGGCCTTCTACTGTGGCCAGTTTAATCCAGTATAGATGTTTTATTAACATCTCAAAGAAGGAAGGGGCTTGACATCCCTATCCCTCTCCTTTGAATCTCCTTGGATTTTGTGCCAGTTTGCCATTTATTTGCAGCAACATCTGGGCCCCTTTGCTAAAAGGGGCCAGGCAGGTGGATCTTCCTAAGACAAAGATCTGTCTGTGCAAGGTAACTGGATATCTCCACAGCAAGAAAGAGGAACAATGCTGATTACAATACGGTTCAATGTCTACTTTCCATAGCAGTTTCACTTAAAAGGAATGGGAGAGAAAAATGAATGTTCCCCCACATTGGGCACCATGTGCTGCATATGGGTGAGCCAACTAGAAATTTCCCAGTGTGCAGTAATTTATGTCAATATTGGGAAAATTTAAACTCCAAGACAGACTTACCACAACGAACTAGGAGTTAAACACCTAAGAAGCTAGCAGGAAAGCAAGTCTTCCAGGCCGTCCATGCTGAATGAGCTGGAAAAAATTAAAGCTGCCTCACATTAAGGGTTGCCTGGCCTCAAGACAGATCCGGAAGGACCTCACACAGCACACATCACATGCAGTGATTCGGTGGCAGTTCATACGCAGCACCTATGATGGTGGCAATCCCTCTGCCATCGACTGAAATTCCTGACCCGGATGCCAGACATACTGAGTCACCTGGAGTCCCCTGCCCTCCACACCTCCCACTGCTGGCTGCATGAATATGTATGTGTGGTTACGAGAGTTGATTTAAGTAATTTGCCTCTAGGGGGTGGTTTGTACCACATATAGGGGAAAAAAATCCACCAACATGTATAAAATTAACCTTTTAAATTCTTCTGTCTGGGGACAAAAAGGATTTTGTCTATTTGTTGATCTATTCTTTACTTGGAAATGAATGACATAACAGAGAAACTGGTAAAACTGTACTATTTGCCTTTCGGATTATTTCTGGCAGGTAACCTTGTCTTCACTGGATGGAGCATAGCAGCAATGTGAAATTTTAAACTTTTTGAAAAACACAAGATCATAGGAGTAAGTCTGAAATTTCCAGTTGGAGTCTGGCTCCAAGAGAGGTTTACAAAATATTAAAGATGACAAAGCTCTGAGTCGCAGGACATTCTTGGCCTCACTGATTAAAAACAGCTCTTATATGTTTTGCTCTCTCATATTTTGCCACATTTTCTACTCTTTTGCATCCTTGACTATTTATGAGTAAAACCCTCAAACTTAGCCTGAAATACAAAGTCCTTGAAAATCCAACCCAAATCCATTTTCTAGCTTTCACTTCCACCTCACTCTCCTTAAAATCAACACCCCAATTTCATAGGGTTATCCATTGTTCTTTGTATATAACATAGTCTTGCACCTCAATATTGTTCACGGGATCTTTTCTCTATTCGAGAGGCTCTTGCTATCTTCTTAACCTGACAAAACCCTGCTCAAAAGCCATCTTTTACCAAAGGCTTTAAAACAGGTCACTCCCTTTTTTGTGCACCTATAACACTTAGCACTTAATTAAAAAAAATTTTTTTTGACTGGGCCGGTGGCTCACGCCTGTAATCCCAGCACCTTGGGAGGCCGAGGCGGGCGGATCACGAATTCAGGAGATCGAGACTATCCCGGCTAACAGTGAAACCCCATCTCTACTAAAACAAAAATTACAAAAACTAGCCGGGCGTGGTGGCGGGCGCCTGTAGTCCCGGGTACTAGGGAGGCTGAGGCAGGAGAATGGCGTGAACCCGGGAGGCGGAGCTTGCAGTGAACCGAAATCACGCCACTGCACTCCAGCCTGGGCGACAGAGTGAGACTCTGTCTCCAGGGAAAAAAAATATATATATATTTCCTAGGTTTTAGGGAACAGATGGTATTTGGTTACACAAGTAAGTTTATTGGTGGTGATTTGTGAGATTTTGGTGCACCCATCACCTGAGCAGTACACCGAACCCTATTTGTAGTCTTTTATTCCTCAATCCTTTTCCACCCTTTTCCCACTGGGTCTCCAAAGTCTCTTGTGTCATTCTTATGCCTTTGTATCCTCACAGCTTAGCTGTCACTTATGAGTGAGAACATACAATGTTTGGTTTTCCATTCTTGAACTATTTCATTTAGAATAATAGTTTCCAATCCCATCCAGGTTGCTGTGAATTCTATTAATTCATTCCTTTTAATGACTGAGTAGTATTCCATTGTGTATATATATGCCACAGTTTCTTTATCACTCATTGATTGATGGACATTTGGATTGGTTCCATGATTTTGCAATTGCAAATTGTGCTGCTATAAACATGTGTGCACAAGAATCTTTTTCACGTAAGGACTTCTTTTCCTCTGGGTAGATACACAATAGTGGGATTGCTGGGTCAAATGGTAGTTCTACTTTTAGTTCTTTAAGGAATGTTCACACTATTTTCCATAGTGGTTGTGCTAGTTTACATTCCCAACCACAATGTAGAAATGTACCCTATTTACTGCGTCCATGTCAATATCTATTATTTTTTTATTATGGCCTTTCTTGCAGGAGTAAGGTGGTACCACATCGTGGTTTTGATTTGCATTTCCCTGATTATTACTGATGTTGAGCATTTTTTCATATGTTTGTTGGCCATTTGTATATCTTCTTTTGAGAATTGTCTATTCATGTCCTTAGCCCACTTTTTGATGGGGCTGTTTGTTTTTTTCTTGCTAATTTGTGTAAGTTCATTGTAGATTCTGGATATTAGTCCTTTGTCAGATGTATAGATTGTGAAGATGGTCTCCCACTCTGTGGGTTGTCTGTTTACTCTGCTGACTGTTCCTTTTGCTGTGCAAAAGCTCTTCAGTTTAATTAAGTCCTAGACATTTATCTTTGTTTTTATTGCATTTGCTTTTGGGTTCTTGGTCATGAAATCCTTGCCTAAGCCAGCATCTAGAAGGTTTTTTCCAATGTTATCTTCTAGAATTTTTATAGTTTCAGGTCTTAGATTTAAGTCTTTGATCCATCTTGAGTGGATTTTTGTATAAGCTGAGAGGTGAGGATCCAGTTTCATTCTCCTACATGTGGCTTGCCAGTGATCCCAGGACCATTTGTTGAATAGGGTGTTCTTTCCCCTCTTTATGTTTTTGTTTGCTTTGTTGAAGATCAGTTGGCTGTAAGTCTTTGGGTTTATTTCTGGGTTCTCTATTCTGTTACATTGGTCTATATGCCTATTTTTATACCATTACCATGCTGTTTTGGTGACTATGGCCTTATAGTATAGTTTGAAATCAGGTAATGTGATGCCTTCAGATTTGTTCCTTTTGCTTAGTCTTGCTTAGTCTTGCCTTGTGGGCTCTTTCTTTGGTTCCATATGAATTTTAGAATTTTTTTTTCTAGTTCTGTGAAGAATGATGGTGGTATTTTAATGGGAATTGCATTGAATTTATAGATTGCTTTTGGCAGTATGGTCATTTTCACAGTATTGATTCTACCCATCTATGAGTATGGGATGTGTTTCCATTTGTTTGTGTCACCTATGATTTCTTTCAGTAGTGTTTGTAGTTTTCCTTGTAGAGGTCTTTCACCTCCTCAGTAAGGTATATTCCTAAGTATTTTATTTTTTGCAGCTATTGTAAAAGGAGTTTGATATGATTCTCAGCTTGGTTGCTGTTGGTGTACAGGAGAGCTACTGATTTGTGTACATTAATTTTGTATCTGGAAACTTTGCTGAATTCTTTTATCAGTTCTAGGAGCTTTTTAGAGGAGTCTTTAGAGTTTTCCATGTATGCAATCATAGCATCAGCAAACAATGACATTTGACTTCCTCTTTACCAATTTGGATGCCCTTTATTTCTTTCTCTTGTGTGATTGCTCTGGCTAGGACTTCCAGTACTATGTTGAATTAGAAGTGGTGAAAGTGGACATCCTTGCCTTGTTCCAGTTCTCAGAGGAAATACTTTCAACTTTTCCCTATTCAGTATTATGTTGGCTGTGAGTTTGTCATGGAAGGCTTTTATTACATTGAAGTATGTCCCTTGTACGCTGATTTTGCTGAGAGTTTTAATCTTAAAGGATGCCGGATTTTGTCAAATGCTTCTTCTGCATCTATTGAGATGATCAGGTATACTATTTTATCACATGGTATTGTGATTATTTGTGCACTCATCTATCTCTATCTCCTCTATGAGATTTGAGCTCCTTCAGGGAAAGACACTATCTGTTTCTCTACATCTGCCCTGAGCCTAATAATGCCTAAAACATAGGATCTACTCAACAAACGTATGTTGGTCTGTGCTATTGAGGATCAATAACTTGCTGAGCAGCACATTCTTTTCTGACCCAGAAGCAAAGCACCCAATACCAGGCTTAGCCTGTCTCGCTTCCAAGACCAACCATGCAGTTACCCAGGAGGATATGAAAATAATGACACAGAATCAAGTGAATTTTGATGTGCAATCTGCTATGATCTTATGCCTTAGTTGGAGAACCTGGGTTTTGGCCTTGATCCTGGAATCATTCTCTCAAGTCATCACTAGACCCACATTTTACTCTTGTGTGTCCAAGTTTCTATTTTGGTAATATGCTGGTCCAAGGATTACCAAAAGTAAGGTTTCTCCTTTTCTAGGCAAGACTATATTTTGATTCCTTTTCTGGAAATGTAATGGAAATTTCAAAACATCAGGAAGCTAGTCAAAAAGTTTCACCCTTAGGAGGTGGAGCTTGCAGTGAGCAGAGATCGCGCCACTGCACTCCAGCCTGGGCGACAGAGCGAGACTCTGTCTCAAAAAAAAAAAAAAAGAAGTTTCATCCTTAATTCTCTATTAAACACAATGTTAGGCGCAGCAGTACCTGTATTGTGTCTAGCCCTTGACTCGAAGGTGAGATTCTTCAAGTATCTAAACCGTTCCAGGTGGAGGCTTTGACTAAAGCCACAGGGTAAGTGGAATGATGGGGCATGGAGTTTGTGGAGGGAGTTGTGCTGGCTCTAAATCATTGCTGCAAATTTTTTGACACTCCTCCCATCTAGAAGTGGCATCTAAGTCCCCACTCCTTGAATCTAGGTGGACATAGAGAGTATGGTGGAAGTGATGTCATGTGATTTCTAGGGCTAGATCATAAAAGATCATGCAGCTTCTTCCTTATTTACTGGAAAACTACTCTTGGAACCCTGAGCTTCATGTAAGAATCTAGGTTGAACCATGCTATGGACTGAATGTTTGTGTTGCCCCCAAATTCATATGTTGAAAGCCAATCGCTAATGGAATGGTATTTGGAGATGGGGTCTTTGGAAGGTGATTAGGTCCTGAGGGCAGAGACCTCATGAGTGGGATTAGTGCTCTTATGAAAGAGACCCTAGAGAGATCCTTTGCCCCCCTCTACCACATGAGGTTACACTGATAATATGGCTATATGTGAACCAGGAAGCAGACCTCTATCAGACAATGAATCTGCTGGTAGGTTGATCTTCGACTTCCTAGTCTCCAGATCTGTGAGAAATACCGTTTATGAGACACCTGAGTCTAGGGTAGTTTGTTATAGCAGCCTGAATGGACTAAGACACACCATCAGCAGAGCCACGTCACCAACAGAGCTGCTCTTGCCTCCATGATCTAAAAAGCCACTGACTCATATCGTGTCACCACTGCCACAATTGGGAGTCCACCACAATCAGAAAGTCACTGTAATCTGGTGACTGTCCCAGTCTCAGCATTATATTACCTTGCTGCAATCTGCACCAGCAGAGTGAATGCCCTGGACCCCACCTCTGATCACCTGCAACCAACAGCTCCATGGCCATGGTTGTGAACAGAAAGAGAAGGAGAGGAAGATGTTATGGCCCCTGGTTTGCTTTCTTTTTTTTTTTTTTTTTTTTTTTAAGCATTCCAGGCTTTGTAGCATAAAAAAGCACACCTAAAGTGGGATGGATGTTGAGTGCAAACCTGCAATACCGTCATTATGTCTTTTTTCTTCTATAGGACTATAAGCAATTTACATAAACACCTGAATATCCAATACCCCAAAATATCCAGCAATTTTCAAGTCATTATTGAGATAAGGAGGGGGTGTTCATGAGGGAGAAAAAAAGGAGGGAGGAATCCTGA